GACTAACTTTACGCGGACTGAAAGTAGCAATTCAGCAGGACGAAAGAAGAAATCCAAGCCGGTCCTCATTAGACTGACCACTGAGTGAAAATAAGGAAGAATACAGTCAGTGCTTCACAGCACTGCAACTGATCCCCAACTGTCTAATGAGGAAAAGAGTGGTCACCAGTAATACGAATTTTCAGAGATACACAACTGCAGGACGGATACAGCGGGTACATTGCAAAATTCCAATTTCCAGTTGAGCAAGGATGAAGATACAAAAGCAAGATACTCTGAAGAACACCGGTGAAAATTCGACGAGAAGCCCTTCTGCGGTAACAGTGAATAGTGTATAATATAAATATGAGAGGCCCGCTGAACGAAATTCAATATGATTAACCTTGGTAACGCTGCAGTTCGAGCTGCTAACCTTATGACAGTGAAATAGGGGAACCAGACCAGGTGGAAAACAACGCATCATCTGAATAAAGAAATTCTAATTCACAGTTTGGTGAGTGCCTCGCAATCCTTCCCGTGAAAAGAGTTTGTCGCTCTAGCTGGAGCTGTAGATAATAACTGCAATCACATCCGTAATGCGACAGCAACCTAAGACTACTGCACCGGTGGTCCAAAAACTGTCAACAGTGACGTGAGTATGACATAGCCTGAAAAAGCTATGCGACAATCGCCGAAATGTAAATCAGCTTTATCACCGCCACAGAGATAATGTATTAATTACACTGATTGTGTTGTTTTAGCAGTAGGACGACCAAAACAACCAGATTATGTAAAGCAGATCTGAACTGTTCGGAAGGTCTTAGGGTGGTGTACAGAGATCAACGCATTAGGTACTGCAAGTCGTGAAAAGCATCGAAGTTATATAGATTTTGAACATTGAAGTAAAAACACTTTACCTGAATATTTCATGAACGAATGCACTAAAACATAAAACGAGTCTTCCAAAAAGAAATTCTTCCATTCATCCAGAAACTCGAACGATGCATCCATCTTCCCGGTTTTTATCGTTATGGCAGTGAACAGTCTTAACGTGAAAACCGACAGAACGTCTCTCGCACAGCAGCATGAAGAGCAGTCAGAAAGACAGGCCTAAACTGTGAAAAGCGGCAAGGAGTACAGCTGATTGCGGATAATTAAGAGAATACTATTAGTGCGTTTGTGGCGTGAAGTGGGAAACTGATGAATAGCATATACAATATTAGTAAGTAGATAAATTTTGTTTGGTTTTAGTGTGAAATGTACATCGACAGATCCAGACATTCGATACCAAGAAATCTGACATACAGCGCATCAACATCACCCTAACGAGATGATACCTTCTCCTGCTGGAACAGGTAAAAGGTAAATGGCCATGGCAAGCT